GGCAAGCTCATCTTCCGTCACTTCAATCAGCCTCCCTTTGAAACCTGTCAAGTCCTTCCCACTTTTTGTTAGCCGAATCCAATCCATGAGACTCCTCCCTGGTTTTAAAGGTACCTGAAAAAATAACAAATGTACAAACATTATTAAACTCTAAAGGAAGAAAGAGCCACTCAATGTACTTTTCTGAGCAACCTAGGAGGACTCAGACAAAACACGAAATAACACAACCCATATTTTTTGCTGATATTTGGGAGCCCTACTCAGCAGTGTGGGTGATTAAGGAAGCATCCCACTAGTGACCCACACAAGGGAATTACTGAACATCAGCAAATCTTCTTAATCTATCTTTATGGAAGTGCTGTTATCTCATAACAAGTTTAAGGAAATATTTATGTATTTTAGCCTCTAAACAATTAAACTGGAGAGCAAACATTTTACTCCTTTCCATAAGACAAGTAGGAACTTCATTTCAGCACTGAAAATACTCTTCCAATTCCAGCTATTGCTCCAAATCACTCTTAACACATTGTTAACCCATAACATACGATACTTTCAACTTCTGAGCTACATTTTCTTAAAAAATAATAACATAAATAGAATGGCATAGTTACCACAGATATTCATTATGCTAGATCGAGATTACAATAGCTCTGTGTGGCAAGTGTCATTTGTCCTACTAAGTTTTATGAAGTAATAATATATGTCAGTTTCCATGTTTATTTCCCAAGGATCATTCTACAGGTTTAAGTAACATTTTAAATATTTATGTGTCTCTGAATGCTTTAAAGTAATCACTAAAAACAGTCAACTTCTAAGGATAATAAACTGAGGACTGCAAGTACAGGTCAGCTTTTTCAACGCCTTAATCTTGCTAAGCCCCGGTTATTTGAGGCATCACCTACAATCTTGTGTTTTATTATTTTTCATGATATAAAACAGGTGTAAAATATGCCCACTTGGGAGACTTCTTCAGAAAGCAAAGAAAATCTTTGTGACACAAAATCTCTAACTAGAGCAAAGCTGTGTCCAACTCTGTCAAGATTACACCTCACCTAAACATAGAAGTCCTGTAGTTTGTTTTAGGGTTTGGCTTTTGTTGGTGTCTGGTTTTTGTTGCTTGTTCTAAAGTACAGAAGAGAGAAATTAGGCAAAAAACATAAAAGCAACACCACAGCAACCGACCTCTTATACATATCCAGCAGTCCTCCTTTGTGTTGTGTTTGGCAAGCTCATCTTCCGTCACTTCAATCAGCCTCCCTTTGAAACCTGTCAAGTCCTTCCCACTTTTTGTTAGCCGAATCCAATCCATGAGACTCCTCCCTGGTTTTAAAGGTACCTGAAAAAATAACAAATGTACAAACATTATTAAACTCTAAAGGAAGAAAGAGCCACTCAATGTACTTTTCTGAGCAACCTAGGAGGACTCAGACAAAACACGAAATAACACAACCCATATTTTTTGCTGATATTTGGGAGCCCTACTCAGCAGTGTGGGTGATTAAGGAAGCATCCCACTAGTGACCCACACAAGGGAATTACTGAACATCAGCAAACATTTCACAGAATTAGAGAAGGATACAGGGTTGGAAGGGGCCGCTGGATATCATCGAGTCCAACCCCCTGCCAGAGCAGGGTCACCCAGAGCAGGTCCCACAGGAACGTGTCCAGGTGGGTTTGGAATGTCTCCAGAGAAGGAGACTCCACCACCTCCCTGGGCAGCCTCTTCCAGGGCTCTGCCACCCTCACAGACAAGAAGATCCTCCTCATGTTTAGGTGGAACTTCTTATATTCAAGTTCAAATAAAATACAATACAATAAATACTATACTGACTCGCAGCTGACACACTGTTACTTGTTAACCAAGAAACCTCTCCAGAACAAGTCAGATAGAGCAGGGCAAAAAGCGCTGAAATGAGGCTGTGGGTTAGTAACAGAAGAGATGCCCAAGGCATGGAAGATGAACACTCATTAGAGCGTAAGTGGAGCTGTAAGTGGTTATTTAGGAGCCCCAAGGATTTCTGGCTGTTGGATGGCAGCGCTAAAAACATGTGTTGGATGGGACATGCAGAGTCAGCTAATGCCTGGGTCTGTGCTCCACAAAGAAGGAACTCAAGCATTGGTAGGTATGTGGCTGGAGGACAGACAAAGTCCTTCTGGCTTCCACTGCCTCGCTGATATTTTCCCCTCCTTCTACTTATAGCTTAAACTCTGTCTGCAGAGTTGCTTCCTTTGCATGCTGTCCTGTATTTATACACCTCTATAACCGGGACGGCTATAGTTTCTGAAGTGGAGTATCTGGCCCTTGGTCCCTCCATCCATTTAGATGACTCTCCCCAAAGCAAACTGCAGGTACCGAGGATAAGGCAGAGACCAAGATCTTCAGGGTGTCTGGCACCTTCCCCTTCAACACCACCACAGATTGGGAACCCCTTTGCTCCGAACTCTTAACAGCTGGGAACAGGCTTAAAGAGTCGAGTCGTGGGTCTTACAAAACCCCAGCCAAACCAGAAGCGAGAACACTAAAGAGCAGGTTAGACCCACAACACTTGATGCTACTTCAGCCTAAGTACGAGTCTGCTTTCCCAGTGGGGTCTGCAGACGCCAAATGGCCCCACCAAACTTCTCCAAACATGAAGCCCAAGCTGTGCACAGTAATTTGGGGCAGAAAGTCTCCGTCTGGGCGCAGGAGGAACCCCGAGACAGCCCGGGGAGGGACAGCAGGAAGCGCCAGGGCCACCCCCTTCTAAACCCAGAAGCACCGAGGGATTTGCAGCGAGGCAGGCCCCGGGCCCTGCCCCAGCCGCCGCCTCCTCCCCTGGCCTCCCGCTGCGGTACGAGACCCCTCCGGTGAAGCGGCGGTAAGCGACCCTTCCCCAGCCGCCACCGGGAACCCACCGGCAAACCACATCCCAGAGCGGCCGGGCCGGGCCGGGCCGGGCCGGGCGGCCGAAACGGGGCGGAGGCGCCGCTCGCCCCACCGGCCCCGAGCGACAGCCCAGGCCTCAACCCCCCCACCCCCGCGGCCGAGCTGTCCCTTACCTTGGCGCGGCCGCCGGCGGCCACCCGCTGCTGGGAGCCGGGAGCAGGGAAGGCCTGCGGGGGGACGTTGAGCATCCTGCCGGCCCGGGCCGCGGCCTGCGCCCCGGCGGGCGGGCGGGCGGAGCGCTGGGGCGCAGGGCGCATGCGCGGCGGCGGGCGGGGCCCAGGCCCGGGCGGGGCTGAAGCGCCGGAGCGGCCTACGGGCAGCGGCCCGGCTGCGGGGCTGAGTGGGGGCTCGGTGGAAGGCCCCTGGGGCCTGACATCCCCGCTGCCACCGCCGGCACACACACAAGGTGTGCCGGGCAGAGGCAATGGCGTTGGAATTGCACTTTCGGATTATTTTTATTTTTATTTGTTGTTCCTTCAGGGGCTCGGGGCTGCCCGGGGCACACACACAAGGTGTGCCGGGCAGAGGCAATGGCGTTGGAATTGCACTTTCGGATTATTTTTATTTTTATTTGTTGTTCCTTCAGGGGCTCGGGCCTGCACGGCCCGAGTGGTATCAAGTGGTACCAAGCTTCCACTGGGCTTGTCAAAAGCGAACTCACACAATCAAAACAACTCACGTTAGACCCTTTTTTTTTTTCCCCCCAAAACCTGCATTTCTTGGTGTCCGCTTTGCAAACAAACCCCATCGTTTCATGCTGTGTTTGCGTATAACAGTACAGCTCGTCTACGTAGAATCATTTTGGGTGGAAGGGACCTTTTGGATCATCAAGTCTAATTGGATCATCAGCCTAACCAAACCAAGCCTGCCAAACCCACCACTGGATCATGTCCCTCAGCACAACATCTACAAGTCTATTAAATACTTCCAGGGATGGCGACTCCACCATTTCCCTGGGCAGCCTGTTCCAATGCTTGATAACCCTTTTGGTGAAGACATTTTTCCTAATATTCACCCTAAACCTCCCCTGGCGCAACTTGAGGCCGTTTCCTCTTGTCCTATCACTTGTTCCTTGGGAGAAGAGACTGACCTCAACCTCTTTACACCCTCCTTTCAGGGAGTTGGAGAGAACAAGGAGGTCTCCCCTCAGCCTCCTTTTCTCCAGGCTGAACACCCCCAGCTCCCTCAGCCGCTCCTCACAAGACTTGTGCTCCAGACCCCTCACCAGCTTCATTGCCCTTCTCTGGACATGCTTCAGCCCATTAATGTCGTTACTGTAGTGAGGGGCCCAAAACTGGACACAGTATTCAAAGTGGGGCCTCACCAACATGAGAGAACATGAGTGACTTGAGGCAAACTCCTTCTTTAAGAGCAAAAACTAGAGCAGAATTTGGACCCTTCTCTCCATCTGGAAAACGGCTACACCATTTCTCTTTTCCATGTTTGAAACTGTTGCAACAGCAGGCACAACATTGGAATACTTCATCCAATGATTCCTTGATATGCTTCCGCATGGAGCCTACAAAACTCACAGTGAAAAAGCTTTACTTGTGTCCTCAAACTTTGAGGAAGTCACATAACCATACAACCCTTTAAAGCAAGGCATCCGTTCTTTGCTCCTAAAATTGATGTTCAAATTGTGGTCTACAAAATATCACAGAATGGTTAGAGTTGGAAGAGACCTTAAAGATCATTGAGTTCCAAAACTCCTGCCCTGGGCAGGGACACCTCCCACCAGACCAGGTTGCTCCAAGCCCCATCCAGCCTGGCCTTGAACGCCTCCAGGGATGGGGCAGCCACAGCTTCTCTGGGCAACCTGGGCCAGGGTCTCACCAGCCTGTAGAAAAAAAGTCTTCCTGATACCTAATACCTATAAACTAACTATCTAAAAATTTCTTCCTGGTATCTAATCTAAATGTACCCTCTTCCAGTTTGAAGCCATTACCCCTTGTCCCGTCACTATATGCCCTTGTAAAGAATCCCTCTCCAATATACGACCTCAGATGAAAAATACTAATCAATACCTTCCCTGCCTAAAACAGGACAGGAATAGAACAGAGGAAAAAGGCTCAGATAAAATTAGAAAACATTTCCATTTTATTAAGAATAACTTACATACAAATAAATTATCTTTAAAAATAGTATAATACATTTTTATATTAAGTTTAAATTAAGTCTTAGAAGCTGCGCTGGCCTTTCCTGCCATCAGCAATCCGATTCTGTTCTTGAATCTTGTTCCAGTTCCTCTTCATCGTCTTCACTATCCGAGTCTTCATAAAAGGAAATTGTGGCTTGAACTGGAAAGTTTTTCAGAAGTGCTTCAGCTTCCTGATACAAGTAATCATAGCACCTTGATTTGGGCCAAAATAGTCTGAAACAAGTATATAATAGGCTTGCTTATTGTTATTACATATTCCACCTGGGCACTGACAGACAAGAAACAGCAGTGAAATTCTGTTAAGCATCCTGCAGAGTTTTTCCCCTCACATGCTCAATTGCTAAACTGCTTTCTACATTTAAATTAAAAAAAAAAAAACAACTCTGTGGATTCTGTATTTTCATCTGAAGAGATAAAGATGCACTTAAAGCCATAGTTTTGCAGCAAAACTACTCTGAAGATTCACTGCATCTGAAACTCACCCCTTCTGTACCTCGTTAACAGTGTTACTTGGGGATCTGATCCAAATAATACTGCCCTAATAATAACTATTCCTAGGCAATATAACGGGCATCAAAACAGAATCCCCAATATATTTGGATTAAATTAGTTTTGTTACTGAAGGTCTCCAGCCCAAATCATTGTTTACAATGGTCTGAGGCAAATCTCAAGGTGAAAGGAGTGTTAAAGGTCTAAGGGGATCAGACCTTGATATTTCACCCCAAACTCCTGTCTTTTCAAGAGGAATCATCCAACAGACTCCTTACAGGAGATGCCTCCTGGGTCTAGACTTTAAAGCAGTCTGTGTTGAATCCAGAAATTAACACAACAATTGCTGATATCATGGTGTAGCAAGGTCTATCAGGTAGTGAGATAATATATTGCCATTAATATACCCCACAGTGCCCGTTCCATTTCAGCTACCATTCTTTTTTTTTTTTTTTTTTCTTTATAGTTTGGAAGTAGCTGGAAGAAACCAGACAACAGAAGTCCCAAGAGGTAAGAGACGAGCGCATTGCAACATAATTAAATGCTGGGTACGGATTGTTTAGAACAGAAATACATTAAGAAACAGCACTAGATGGTTTTCTAGCGATTACAGACGCACTTTCTAGGCTATACTTGAACAGAGTGCTGCCTCCTTTGCAGCACAAACTGTCCCTGGCTTTGAAACATCTCTTCATTCCCAGTGTTCCCAGCAGCTTTCACTCACACCTGAGCGTGGGAGCAGTGACAGTGAACTCAAGAATCCCTGCGATGCCTTGGGTAGTCTGGGCATCAGTATTTGAAAGATCAGAGCCTAGATTTGAGAGAAAGCTGCGTCTTAGCTGGAAGCACTACCTGTGCAATTACTTTTTAAGCTCCTTGCAACACCTGCTTGGTGCTTCTGAATACAGACTCCTGCAGATTCCACTAGAGTTATTTTCTTTATTTCCTTTTCAGAGCTGACAGGGCAGGGACTATCGCTACCATCATCATTAAAACAGTAGTTATTTGGGTGTTTTCTCAGCAGTGCTGGCTTAGTCAGTCCATACCCCCTCCTCCTGCCACTCTCCTGTGCCTGCACCTGCAGAACACTGGAGGTTTGGAGAGAGAGACAGCCTGGGAACTACCCCCCGTCTCCCTTAATCCTGAGCACAGGAATGAGGAGCAAGATGTTTCAGCCAACCCTGCCACCAAAACCAACCAAACACAATAACCGCGTAACACGTCTAAGTCCCACACCACAGAAGCACGTCAGCATCTCATCTTAAAGATCTGGTAAATCCACAAGTGCTGGCAATCGGTTGCCCCGGGACCAGTCAGTTCCAAAGCACTGAGTTGGCTAAATCGCTCTGAAGGTACTTTAATCATAGAGTAGTTTGGGTTAGAAGGGACCATGGGTAAATCACTCTGAAGGTACTTTAATCATAGAATAGTTTGGGTTGGAAGGGACCTTTAAAGGTCATCTAGCAAGGTCATCTTGCAATAAGCACAGACATCTTCAAGTAGATCAGGTTGCTCAGAGCTCCGTCCAACCTGACCTTGAATGTTTCCAGAGATGGGGCACCTACCACTTCTCTGGGCAACCTGTTCCAGTGTCCCACCACCCTCGGTGTAAAAAATTTCTTCCTTATCTCTAGCCTGAATCTACCCTCTTTTAGTTTAAAGCCATTACCCCTTGTCCTATCACAACAGGCCCTGCTGAAAAGTCTGTCCCCATCTTTCTTATAAGCCCCCCTTGAGGGACTGGAAGGGGCTCTAAGGTCTCCCTGGAGCCTTCAGGCTGATTCTCCCCAAACTCTCTCAGCCTGTCCTCCCAGCAGAGGGGCTCCAGCTATCTGAGCATCTTCCTGACCTTCCTCTGGACCAGCTCCAACAGGCCCATGTCCTTCCCGTGCTGAGGGCTCCGTATCTCCATAAATACATGGGTGGGATCAAAAGGGGCGGAGGAGCCAGTGCTTGGCCAAGGGACTCTTCCCTCCTTCCTGCTCCGAATCTCCATAAATACATGGGTGGGATTAAAAGGGGCGGAGGAGACGATGCTTGGCCAAGGGACTCTTCCCTCCTTCCTTCCTTCCATCCCTCCCTCCCCCCTTCCCGGCCGTGCAGCACTACGGGCCCCGGCAGCGAGCGGGGAACCGGGGGTTCCAAGAGCCTCCCCCCCACGGGAACCCGGAGCTTCCCCCCCCGCCATCCCCATCCCCGGGGGGGGACACATCCACTTACCGGACGGGGTGCGTGTACTGCGCCAGCTTTCGGGAGGCTTCGTGGGGCTGGGGAGGAGAGAGCAAGAGATGAGCTCGCCGCTTCGGCAACCCAGCCCTTTTGGGGGGGTTGCGAGAGGGATTTTGGGGGGGGATGATGGCCACCCCCTCCCCATCTCCGCTCCCCACTCACCGCGGCGGGGCCGGTGCCGGTGCCGTTCCGCCGGTCCCCCTCTCCCGGGGCGGGCACCCAGGGCCTCCAAAAAGGAGCGGATCTGCGGGGTGAGGGTAGGAGCGCTATGGCCGGGCTGGGAAGCGACCGGCAACGCGGGGAGGAAGAAGAGGAGGAGGAGGAGAAGAGGGGCGAGCATCCCGGCGGGGGCGGGCGGGAGCATCCGCACCCCGTCCCTCTTCCTCCTCCCTCCATCCTCCGCCGCTTTCCGATGGGCTCCTTCGCTTCGCCCACCCCGGGGGCAGGCGGGGGGGTTTTTTTTATAGCCGTCGGCGGGCGCTGGGGGCCGGGGAACCCTCCTCCTCC